CGGCCCTAACATGGCGTTCAAAATTCAATGCCCAAACACCTATTTTGAAAGCTATCTTACAGATCTACATAACGAACTAGAATTCAATGGTCTAAGTTATGATAAACTTAATGCTGCAAAAAACACTCTGAAAATTAACAAAGCACCAGGGATCGATGAGATTTGTAGCAGCGTAGTAATAAGTGTCTTCCCGGTGATACGTAAACCCATATTCGAAATTTTTAAATCTTTAATTACAACAGGATTTGTTCCAGACAGATTAAAAATTGCAAAAGTCGTAACAATATTTAAAACCGGAGAGCCATCTTCACTTAATAACTACAGACTCATTTCAATCCTCCCAGTCTTTTCTAAACTTCTAGAACGAATAGTTTACAATAAACTATACAAATACTAAACTAATAACAATATCTTGAATAAAAAACAATTCGGATTTCAAAAGCAACATTTAACCGAACATGTGATATTATATCTCGTAAATAAAATAAATGAATCTTTTGATAATTTTTTTTTTTTTTTTTAGGTGCCCCAAGAAGTCCTTACGGTCTTATCACAGAGCACCGCGGATGAACATTTAATTGGAAGTTCACGCCTCCTTCCTAACCGATGTTGCAAAACTTGCCTGGAGCTGGGGTTTAAAAGTTCCATTTTAGCTCCCTTACTCTTCTTGCTATAGATCAATGATCTTCCAAAAGTCTCAAACAAACTCGATGCCATAATGTTTGTAGATGATACTAATTTATTTTATTCATCTACTTCTATCACAGAAATCATTTATATGCTTTACAAAGATAGACCAATATTACCCAAAATCTCTAAAAATACTATTAAAAAAAACTTGTTCTAGACGTAAACAATTTTACAAACGTATATTAAAAAAAAAAACCTAAAAATTAACTTAAGCCAAATATATATTAGATTTTATTTATATTTCGTACATGTCTGTCAATATATTAAGTATAACAAGCCATGTAATTATATATTTATGTGTATCAAATACACCTCTTATCTTTTTGATTGTCTATTAGCCAAAAGAAGATAAACTGCAATCTTTAACCAAAAAAGATAAACTGCAAGAGCTTGTTTTTTCGAACGTTCAAAAGAGTTTTTTTATTATTTTATATTTCACTTACCAAATATAAGAATGCATCGTTGGTAAAACCATTATTTTGGAAATAAAACTCAGTTGTTACGTTATTTATACCATTAAAGAAATGTGTATACGCGTACGTGTACACATTTCTTTAATGGTATAAATAACGTGTCGAAAAAAGAGTTTTTTACTTATGTAACAGAGTTTTAGTTTTTTAAATTTTGTTAAATTGACTATTTTTGCATACTTATTTTGTAAAAATAATACAATACGTCAAAACATATTTAAAATATTTTTTGAAAAAAAAAAGACAATTTCTAATAAAATTAATTTTTTTTTAGTATAAAACTTATTTCCAAGTTGTTAAGTGTAAATTTATGAGTCAAGACTTTTCAAATATAAAATTACATTTTAACGTTACTTTAATTGCTTATGATTCATGTCTCTTTGTCATAATTAGCACCTCAAGATGTTACCAATTACAAACTTTTTTTTAAAATTATCATCAATTAGTGGGTTCCTTAAACTAACTTCACCTAACTTGTATAAAACGAATCACTGTCAGTCGGAAAGAAAACCAGAACTTATTGAATTACATTAAATAATAATCTTTAATCATTAAGGCGTCGGTGGTGTATCGGTTAGCATTGTTGCCATCCAAGCTTAAATGCTGTTGCTTGTATATTACGGGTTAATATATAATATACGGATATTTATATAAATATCCGTAATAGTGATGTAAATTTTCCACTAAAATTTGATTCAAAATTTTCCGGTAAAATTTACCGGAAAATTTTCCGGTAAATTTTACCTTCGCAACACTAATCCGTAATATATATTAATCTGTAATATACAAGCAACAGCATTTAAGCTTGGATGGCAACATAAAAACAACGCAAATAATTATTTGCGTTACTATTGGGGCTCGGTGATAAGGCTAATTTATGCCTTCTTCTTGCTCCAGCCAATGTACTTGTACTTTTTATATTGTTGTACTTTGTGAATATTTTTAGCAAATTTATTGATTTACTTTTAGTTTTGTTTTCTTTAAATTTCTACAAACTCCTAAGGCGTCGGTGGTGTAACGGTTAGCATTGTTGCCTTCCAAGCAATAGATCCGGGTTCGATTCCCGGCTGACGCATACTTTTATCAGTACTACTGATAAAGTGCGTCAGCCGGGAACACTTGTTCATAAAATATATAAAATTATCATACTTTTTTATTTTTATATAAACATTATACAAAAAAAAAAAAAAAAAAAAACTCGATAATAATAATAAATAAAAATCTTATATTTATTAATATAATTGTTTTATTATTTTTTTGTTAAACTAAATGTTAATTTTTAATAACTTAATGGTTTATTTTTTCTAATTAATTACAAAAAGTACTTTAAAATATATAACATTAAAAATAGGTGAACAAAAACAATAATTTTTAAATTATAAATAAAATTAAAAAATATGTAATAAATAGATATAAAATATAATAATTAAAAAAATATATGATATAATAAATTTTAAAAACAATAAACTGTTTATTAGTTAACATAAATACGAAAGTAATTTGTTATTTTGACGAAAACAAAACGATGCGTCAGCCGGGAATCGAACCCGGATCTATTGCTTGGAAGGCAACAATGCTAACCGTTACACCACCGACGCGTTACATTTTAAAAAGCTTTAAATTTTTTAAATTACGTTTAATAATCAATAAATTTTTTGTTTGATTAGTCGGCTAGTTTGACAAGTCAGCCGGCAAATGTAGACAGTCAGTCAGCAATAGTTGGAGACTTTTAAGAACAATCAGTCGATAATTTTTACGAAACGAGGACCTTTTTTTTTAATCAGTAAAAATTTTAACGGCAAAATCCTCCCCTCTCCATGTGACAACTACTGTCGCGCTGGCCCTGTGGGGGAAAATTTTAAAGATTTATCAAAAAAGGAGGGGGAGGGTTTTGAAGATTTCTCAAAAGAATAATAAATTTTTGCTTGTGGTTGTATATTTTTGACGGTTTAAACTTTTTTTAATCTTTTTTTTTTTTTTAAATGTATTAATATTAAAACTTTTATAATAGTTTTTATTTAAAATCATTTATCTGTCATTAAGTTATCTATTTATTAAAAAAAAAATACATTTTTTAAATTATCATCTGTCTCGATAAATTCTGCCCCCTAATGATTAATCCTGCCCTCTTTAACAATCCCTTTTTTCATGAGAATAAACTTTGCTTGCTGCTCCTGCTTCATGTTCAACTCGTCTTTTAATTGACTGCCCATGACAATCCGGAGCATCCATAGGCTGAAATATAACCGGTTTTGCTTCTTCTGTTGTCAGATCACAATTAAGAATAGGCTCATAGGATATAGCCCAGTCGATTAGTGTTGTTGCATCAGTCGATTAGTGTTGTTGCATCAGTACATCAGATTTTATTTCTGGAGTTATTCGAGCTCTCACATTTTTATCATCAGTTTGAAGTTTTTTGTCACCTCTGATTTTCACAAATAAATTTAGTCGAACCTTCAACTTTTAATTGAACTTTTGTATTATCATTTCTGCCATCAAAAAAACACAATCAATAATGCTAGTACTGCATTGAGTGTCTAACTCTATAGAAAAAGACAGCATAATTTTTGCTCTCGAGCTCGCTTGACTTTGTTGTGATCAATAACTAGATTGTTATCGTCTTCTTTAATTATTCCTGTATCCATCCAAGTTGCTATCGCAATTGCAGCTGTTTCAAATCAGCTTGAACTATAGCGTATGGTTGCTAAAGCTATGTTAGAAATACTTTCATAGTTCCTTTGTCCTTGTAAACTTTCCTGAACTTCATTTTGTCGATACATTAGATTGAGTTCAGTATTGCTGTTTGTTATGCAACATTCATTACTAAACAGTTCCTCTGTTTCGCTAAATTCAAATTCAAATCTTTCTTCCTGACTTCTAATTGTTTGTTGCAATTCTTCAGACGCTTTTTTTTTTTAAACTACAGATAAAGTAATTGAATTTTCATTAAATGTTTTGTAAAATACTTTAAATACAAGGAGTTTTAACTCAATGCCAATCAACGTTAAACCAGGTTACGTTAACTTTTTAACTCAACTAACTATGCAAATGTTCAATATAACAAATTCTACAACACATAATCTAGCGAATCCTGCAACTATATAATGAAAAGAATATATTATATATATTAAAAAAAAAATGATATTTCTAGCACTTTAACTTTCTCAGATTTGATTTGTTTAAATTGTATGGAAGACTGGGGCTAGTTGTCTCTGTTTTTACTATTTGAGCTCTGTACCCTTTACGGCATAATTTTTTTGTAATAATTAAAGCGCAGTCTTAAATAGGTTTTAAATTAAATTCATCAAAGAAAAAAAAATTTCATAGAATAAAGCTTTTTTTCATAGTAAATGCTATGAGCCAACTAGCCCTGTCAAAATTTTGCCAAATAACTCAAAAGTATTTTTTTTTAAATAAGCAGTTTATAGGTCATAAAAACAACAACTACTGAAAAAAAAAACTCGAAATAGTAAACCAATTGCTAATGGAATTTTTACAATAACTTCTTTTCATACGACTAAATATTTTCTTTGTAAAGTAAAAAGGAAGCGATGTAACAAAAGTTACGTTTTTGTCTAAAAAACACATAAATCCCAATATCTCCCATAGGCATGCGCAAATCCTAACAATACTACAGTGAATGATAAAATGGTCAATTAAGAAGATTCTATGTAATTTTTGACACTTTCTGAAAGGGCGATGAAAGGCTCTGAAGATAAAGGCAGTTCGTCAACTTACCTCTGCCTCGGTCTTCCCTACTAAGCTATTTTTTTTTTTTTTAAAAAGTCTTATTGAAAACTATAAGCTAAATTATAAGTAATCTACTTAAAAGGAACATAATTAACACAACTAGCAGCCGTTATTTACCCAGCAATTAGTTTTATAAAATTGTTACAAATCATTGATTCGCTAAAACTGCAATAAAGTAAATATAGATCATTCTATAATGAAGTTAATGGCGGCAAAGATAAAGACTAGTCATTCACGCAGTTTACGTCATTGCAACTAGGAGGCCAATCGAATTCCACATTCTAAAACAAGTTATATAAAAACTTTTTAAAAATAAAAAATTAAAATGAATAGTTAAAAAAATATAAATTTTTGCTATAATCAAATGCGTCTAAGTCTAAACTGCCTTAATTAAATTAAGGCCCAATAAATAGGGGGAACTAACGATTTAAAATTAACCGATTTTAAATTAACGATTTAAAATTAACCAATTTTAAACTCCACAAAAGTGTAACCTTTTTAAAAATGAATTTATGCCATTACATAATTTATATCATTACACAGTTTATTATACAGAAACTATTTATAAAAATTAGCGTGTTCTTCTTCTGTTAAATAACTATTCTTTATGATTTATAAATGCTTTTACCTGATCATTTATTTATTATTAAGAAAAACTAACCTGCACGTCTAGCTCTAAAATGTCAACATCAGCATTTAGTAATGTTCGCAGAGATGGGTTAGTTCGTCCAAAATCGCCGTGGACAAATTCTTTTACGTAACTTAAACCAAATGCAATTAACATACGGTTTATAAATGTTTAAATGTACACAATTTAACAACATTTAACACAATTTAAGATTAACAATGTGCAGGATACATATTCTTTAATGTATATAATAATGCTACTCACGTTCCAGCTTGCGTAGTAATAAATAGATCGTAATGAAATTCGTCAACTCGAGTTAAGTTTGTTTCATAAATTGTACGCTCTCGCGTAATTAATGGTCTCCTGTAATCAAATGTGTTAAAATAAATAATAGACGACTAAGTAACAAAAAGAAATATTTTAAATAAAAAAAAAGAAATGAAAATGCAATCTAAAACTTTACATTAAAAAATTAATAAATTAAAATTGCACAACTTTTTTTAATAAAGAAGTTCAAAAGTTCATGTTTTTGTTTTTAAATGTTGACTCGATTTAAACAATTTTTAAAAATTAGTAAGTTTTGTTTTAGCTTCTTTAAGAATTTTATCAATGTTTCTTCAGAAATTTGTTAATTTTTTTTTCAAGTATAGAAATAATTTTATCTTACGAATTTGAAATAATTTGTCTCATGTCACATAATATTTCAAATTCGAGACAAAAGTTTTCTGGGTATGAGTACAGAAAAAAAAAGCCCGAGAAAGATCAAAAATTTGAAAAAATTAAAAGATTCATCAGCATTAAAAAATTTTGCTTATAAAAAAACGACGAAGGTCGTGAAGATTTAACCCATATGCTCCAACTATCTCTACGACTTTGTCCAATATAGTTATAAAACCTTAAACAATATTCAAAAATAATTGTATAACTTCATTGCAAATTGAAGTAGATTATTTTAAAAGAGGCAGTTATTTTAAAAGAATCAAATGATTTATCGGAAGAATTTTTACAAGAAAACACATAAATCACTGATATTTTTTAATTTTCATTTTATATCCTAAGTGTAGAACATACTCAAACAAGCTAACCCAACAGTGTAAAGTAGATATTCCCATTTTAAGAGACTTTTCATAGATTGTTCATCTCACTTAGCTTTTTAAAACAAACATTGCACGATTGCGATGAATTCAAAGCCATGACGGCATTTACCGATTTTCCATCAAACATAGTTAAGTCAACAACAATTTTAATTTTTATGGAACAATTTTAATTTTTATGGAAATTTTAATTTTTATGGAACAATTTTAATTTTTATAATCTTAAAAGATTTAGATTTAAAATATAGTCCTCGAGATTTTCAATTTATTTTTTAAGACTTATTTTTTTTTTCTACAATGAGTTGACTTGTTTCCTTTTAGTATTGAAGTTGAAGACATCTACAGAAATGAGGTCTGGATGGTTTTGGATTACTTCAGATGTTTATATCCTCAACTCTTAACTTCAAAGAAACTATTGTAGTTTGAAATACTGATTGTTCATTTTGCATTCTAGTAATAAGATCAGTATCATCAAATCTTTGATTATAAATAGTTGTGAAGATCCATGCCACATTTTAAATTAAATACTCCACTTGTCACAGTTTCATCTAAGTTCTGAAGCTGCTTAGACTTTAGTTTTTTTCGGGACAAAGTATGGTTAACCATGCTCTGTAAACTACACTTTTCAAAAGTTTTTATAATATCCGAAGCTTCTGGGTAACAATCTACTTTTGATTTTAGGATTGTTTTCAATGGTCAGCATTTTTTAATGGGGGATAAATATCTGCATTTTGCATCAAAGATGAGTTTCGAATAACCTTATATTGTGAATCACTTAAATCAAAATGAACTTCAAGTGGCAGAGCGTGATCTTAAGTTTATCACTTTTTTTTTTGTTTTATTTGTTTGAAAACATTTTAATACTCATTCCCATATTCGATTCCATATTTCATTCCATATTTCATTCAATATTTCATTCCCATATTCGATTCCATATTTCATTCCATATTCAGGACCTGATTTTGCACGTACAACAGCAGCTTTTGCTTTTCAGTTTAATGGGTTTTCGCCAATTTAAAGAAACATAATACAAATGAGAGTTCCACATCAGATTCTTCTTCATTGAACATCTTTTTTTGCTTTAGCTTCTAAAACAGCTAGCAAATTGATTAATACTGACTTCTTCAATTATGTTTAAAAGTTTTAATTTTTTCATGTTTAATCAACAACAAAGAAAATAATTTTGCAAACAAGGTTTTTTTTTTGAGCAAACAAGATTTTTTTTTTTGAGTTTATATAAGAGTTGTATAAAAGAATTGCTTAAAGTTCATGAAAAAATAGCTTTGGCTATTTTTTCGTGATTCAGACTCATAGTGCAGCCCAAGATGAGATTTATTCATTTTCTCCTGAAAAAAATTAGAAGTCGATTTTTTCAATCCTCTTTTGGATACATCTCTAATTTCAAAGAGAGAAAAATTTATACAGTTGGAGAATTATTCAGAAGTTTAGGGTTTTTTATATTATGTCGATAGTTTGCAAATAAGAAAAGAAATTCTAAAATCATGTTCTTCAAATTAAATTACCGTAAATCTAAAATCGGACATTAATGGTATTCTCCTTTGCAATGAACTGATGAGCATTAAACCTTTTCTTTCTGAAATGGTCAAGAATAAAATTACTCCTATTATTGTTTTAACCTTTGTAAAATAGCATAAAATGCAAGAGTTTTATCCAAACACATGGATTGCAATACAAATTTTGCTAACAATACCTGTCACTGTAGCAAGTGAAGAACAAAGCTTTTCCGAAATGAAACTAATACAATGTAAATAAACGAAAGTCTATCCTGCAATAGGGTTCCTAAACTTGAAAGTTTTTTTTTGTAATCCACCTCCCCAAGGCCGAAAAGACTACTACAGATGAGGAGGCAACTGGTGGTTATAACCATCTCTCAAATCTATAACTCTGAAACACGAACCTTGACGAACCAAGCAGCTGTGCGGAGAAACAAGTTGAGCGCAGTACTACCAGGGACGTGGCAAGAATCGAACTCAGAACCTCTCGCTTATGAAGCAAGCGCTCTACCACTACACCACTACCGCACTTAATGGTCTTTTAAAATACTTTTCACCAGTTTCTGTTTTCTTTTTGTCTTTTCCCTCTATTTTCACAGTCACCAACATTTTTACTTGAAATACACCCCAAGCCAATATACGTAATATAATGTCAATAGCCGCTATATGTAATACCACAACTTCAACCAAATTAAACAATTTGGTTGAATTGCTTGTCCACATGGCAAGAAAATTAATTGCATTTATATGAAGTTATGTTTTGATGAATTTTTCCTGATGGCAAAATGCCCTGTCGTGCATGAAAATATTAAAATTTTTAATTCGACACCAATTAGACACACCGTTCTTCAAAATTTTCAAATAAATCCCAGAATCAACAATTTCATTTAGTTGTAAAAGGTGTAAGCCAGCACAACCATTGACAGTGATTAAACCCCAAATCAAACCCCATAATTGCTGCATACTGCTCAACAGAAGTTGCAACACAACATTGACTTAGTGAGCTGTAAACTGTTAAACTTGCACATTATCTGATCCATCAGGTTATAAAATGTAAATTTAACGTCTAAAACACGTATTAATACATTGTAATACGTGTTTTAGATGTTTTAATCACGTCTTGTGTCCACTGGGGAGAAAATGAGATGTCACCACATTTCACAACAGTCCAATCCTTGAGTTCTTTGTAAAATTTGTTACAAATATTTTTTTGATTAAATATTAAAATAAACATGCATACATATATAATAAAAATATTTATAAAACGTATATATCTATCATAATACATAAAGTACCATAAAGCATTTCACACAATTATGGGGACACTTTAAAGTTAACAACCGCTTTTATGAGTTAACAACTGGTTTTAAGTGTTAACAACCGCTTCTATATGGTGAAATAGTTTCTACTATTATTTTTTAATTTTTAATGGAATATTATAGGATGTCAACAAGATTATCATTAGATATTAACAAGCTTGTACTTAGATATCAATAAGCAAGGAGTATTTTATCAATAATACAAGGAGAGGAAATAATATCAATAATGCAAGGACTGGAAATAGTATCAAAAATATAATAAGCAGAAATAATATATATAGTACAAATAAGTAGATATAATATCAATAACACAATGAATCGAAATATGTTTTTTTTTCAATGAAAAAGTGATTCACTAATTTTTAATACTGCATAAAGTATGATATACAATGTGTCTATTGGTTAATATCATTGATTTGTATCACCTTCCCCCTATCCTAAAAATTTTAACTTATAATCAGATTTTTAAAGAATATAGTCGGCTAGTTAGCATTTGACACATTTCAGTCAGTAGATTTTTAGTTATAAAGACTTTTTTTTAGAAGTCAGAAGTTTTGAACGCTCCTCTCCGCACTCCCTCCCACATTTTATTCCTAGAATTGCCAGATTTAATAATAAAAATAAAAAAATCATAAATAAGTAATGATAGTAATTGTCAAAAACATAAGAAAAATTAAATTCAAACTATAATTTATTAAAATATCATCAAAGCAAATTGAAAACTAAAAAAAAAAATTATGCAAATTAATAAATAAAATCCATCATGAAATTAAAAACGAGTCTAAAAAGCTGAAATTTCTTCATCTAATGTTGGAAGAGTTATAAAATTATTTTATCCATTAATCGATATAAGAAAATTTTATCCGTCAAACAAGGATCAAGTTGCGAATAAGATTCATTATTCTTTTGAAAGAAATCCAGACTTGTCTAAAAGAGAAAAAGCTTAAAAATAAAAAAGTTTCAGATCTTGAAGGAAAGTGATGAAATACGACAACTACAAGTCTTTTCAAGCAATTAAATACCCAAATTGTTCTGACAAACAACTTTGATATCAGAATTTTATATTTAAGAGTGTCTTTAAAAGCCACCTTTTTGATTGTTATAAATTGAGAAAGGTTAATTTTGTACCAAAAAAGCTCAATCCACCTAATCGCCACAATTCTGGCCCATCAAAAAATATTGGGGTATTGGCACAGGATTTTTACGTAAAACAGGAAAGATTCAGTACAAGAATTTCTGAAGGCATGGTCAACCATAAGCAAAAAAATGACAATAACAGTTGCGCAAAAGTTAATGAGCACCATCATCATTAATGTACAACTATTTTTTAGAAAGAAAAATTTCAAAACTAAAAGCATTTTTAAACTTCTTTTTTTTTAAACTTCTTAACTTCAAATAAAAATTAAAGAAATTTGTAAAAAAAAAAAGTTATTTTAAATATTTTTGAAAAGATTTTCCTTCATCTTTTTTTTTTGATTTCATGCATTAACATACTCTTTTTAAGTCAAATACTTAAAGTTTTCTAGAACGAGATTTAACTAGTAACAATGACATTGTTATCTGTTTACTTTTATTTGTTTAAAATTTGGATGTAAAAAATTGCAACAAAAACAAAAAAGAATAATATTGCAAAAGATAAACAAAGATAAGAAATAACAAACCTGTGTAAAACTCTTATAGGAGTCTTCTGCATCAGTACAATATTCTAAAAAAGATATATGTGAGTTTCTTTTTGGTTTTGCAGGAAATATTTTGTCTACAGAAAATATTAACTTAGAAACAATATTATCATCAAGCATTTATATTTAATTCTAAAATTTACAAAATAATAATCATTGAACCATCATCGAATGAACTTTTTCGTTTTACTCATCTTAACAAGTTCATCTGAATTATAAAAAAATCCAAGTTTATCTCTATTTTAATTTTAATTTTATCTATATATATAGATAATCTAAATTTATTTATCTTTTAATTTCAACTTTATCTTTATAACAATCTAACTTAATTTATCTTTTAATTTGAACTTTATCTCTATATATAATATATATCAAAATAAATATATAAATTTGAACTTTATTTTATATTATCTATTTAAATTCCTTATAATAAATAACACACCTAAATAAATATGCACGTGTGCATTTTTATTGTCTTAAATATGTATCTTCAACCTCATATTATTTTGCTTTTTAAAAAGTTTATGTATTTCATTTATTTGTTCTGCAAAATTTATTGAACTTATTAAGCATTTGTAGAAAAGATTGAGTAAAAGTAGGATTCATAGAGAGAAAATATAAAGTTATTATAAATGCCTAACAAAGAAAATAATCATTTAAGTACAAAGGAAGTGAAATATAGGGTTAAAATAGCAAATACAATATTAAATTTCCTACTAACTATATATATAACAATGTTAATACTATATTTTATGTTAAAACATAGTTTATTTTGATTTTTTAAATTTATTATTGATATCTTAACAAATTAGTAAAAACATAAATTAAAATTTAAAATAAAAAAGTTTGTGACATAAAAACTGCTAGTAAAAAAAAAAAGTAAATAAAATCAATATTGAGAGCATTTTCACCAAAGTGAGAGTTTATAAATTACATATACAGTAAAACCACTGATTTAGGACCTTTTCCCCTTTTATGTACTTGTAGGCTTTCAATGACACCCTCCTTCACTCCGTGTACATACACATTATTAATTTAAAATTGAGACCGGCCAAACACAAGGTACCTGTCTATAACAGTTTACTCCTAAAGCTGCTTTTTGGAAATTTTCTACCTCCAACTTTTAGTCAATTGTCTTCTCAAAAGAATCAAGGTGTTTGTCAAAATAGTTATGGGGAAGAACTATTCCAGCCAAAATAGGAGAGGTGCAATTCTTTCTTTGAGTGGATTGAAAGCTGAAAACCCAGCTGCGTTCATGCCATGAAGCAAGACACCTAAATCCAGAAAGCAAGAGGTCAGCAACAATTTACTAAGATTTCAAGAAGTGAGAGAAAATGTCATCAACCATGCATTATCTGAGCTAAATCAGTCTCAATTAACAAACTTAATTTATTTCTTATTAAATTGCATAATGAAAAGTATTAGTCTCTATTAGCATTAAAATAATTGTTTTTGTAATTAAAAAAAAATCATTTAACTTTTAAAGGCCCCTTTTAATTTCATTAATCAACTTTAAATGAACTTGAAGGGGGTTTTAAATTTTAAATTCTTTTAACTTAAAAACCTTAAAAACGATTTTCTTGTAAAAATTACTTTTTAGATTTTTAGGAAAGAATAAAAAAAAGAAAAATTTAAAAACTTAAAATAAATCAACTGTCTGCCCATACCAAAACGTTCAGTCTTTGTATGTACATTTTGCATACCAAAACGTTTAGTCTTTGTATATACATTTTGCATACCAAAATGTTCAGTCATTGTATGTACATTTTGCATACCAAAACGTTCTGTCTTTTTATGTACATTTTGCATACCAAAACCTTCAGTCATTGTATGTACATTTACAATCAAACTACATTTCAAAATATTTTAAAAAAATGTTTTTCTAAATTTTTTACAACTATGTTTTTGGGTAATTCGTTCCCTTGGTATGTGGTGAGAGAATTATTTAAAAACATTCAAGTGGATACATTTTTGAGCAACCTCTCCTATATATCTGTGTATGTACTACTGTATGGACACCTCCAAACAGTCTGTACAGTACTGGAATAGAAATGAAAATTTGAGTGGATAAAGATTAAGTTTAACAAGATTATGTTTAAAATCGATAAATGCCTGATTGAAATTTACAGACATTTTAATTATGAATTTAATTAATGCATTTCATCAAAAACTTATATCAAGAATAAAATCAGAATGTCACTTATAAAATACTAACAGAATATTACTTAATAGATACAATTAAAATTTTAAATTTTAAAACTTAGGATTAAAAAAATCTTACTTTAAGGATACAAACAGAATCAATTTTTTCAGCTGATATAGGTAATGGACACCAAATTCTTGCCCTAAAATGAAATTGTGCGTTTGTGCTTTAGCGTTTTAAAATTTTATCTTTAAAATTAAAGTTTTGCGTTAAAGAGATTATCAAAATGCAAGAAAAATAATAACATAAAGATAAACAACTAAAAATAACAAATTGCCACATGTTCTATTTTTGAAATATTAAAAAAAAAATTAGTTTAAAAAGAAAGCTAAACCTGTACAACTTCTTTTTTTCTTCTTCTCCTTCTTTCAACTTTTGTATTGCCCCTCTTATGTAAAAAATAAAATTGTATGAAAATTAAAAGATCAAGAGATTAAAGGTTTAAAATATAACATAAATTATTCATAAAGTAATAGAAACTATTTGAGAGAATTCGGAAATATAATAGTATAAAAATATAGAATTTTTTTAAAAGAAAATTTATATATTTAACAACTAAGTGACAATAACTTATAGCTGTGCAACACTCCGAACTAAGTGACAACAAGTTTTACCTATGCATTACTTGCAAGTCTCTCACACTAATTAGGTCAGTTGACTTGTTAATGGCATCTTGAAGTTCTTGTACAATGTTTCTTTCTAATCCAGATACTTTAGGGTTTATAAGTTCCACAGCAAATGGACGACCTAAATTACATAACAAGATGTTACAGATGTTTTTTTTAAAAGTTAAATTGTAAACTAAAACAGAATTTAACAATAACAGACCTTTTCCCAGCATCAATACATCGACATCTTCTCTTCCAGATGATATAAATTTATTGTCTGCAAAAAGTAAATTCTAAAAACTCAAAAGAACAGACTTTACCAAATAAATTTTTAAAAATTAGTTTACCGTGATTCTACTCAAATTACCTGATGCTTGAACTGCTTCTTGCATTTTCCCACATATTAGGTCCTATTGAAAATTAAATGAATTTACAAAAACTACATTTAATCTTATTTCTTGTAGTAATTGTGTAAATATTTCTAGTTAAAGAGTGCTCAATACCAAAGTAGAGCAATATATAGTAAAAACTAAATAATTATACCACTAGATTTATTTAAAACATTACTTGGAGTTTCACGCAAATAGCGATCATCAGGTGTTACAAATCTCAAAAACAATGACAAAAAAATATATATTAAAAATACTGTGGAGTGTCCTCTTTGATGATATTAAAGTTATTCATCATGTATTTATTTTCATGGCGACATTTAGAAGCAAGTTCGTTTCGCTTATTCAGTAAAGGAAATGGGGGTAAAATTATATGATATTTTTCCATCAAGCATAAATTGCATGACTTACCACCAGGTTTAAACGGTTCAGCCTGATCTAAAATTTTCCACGAAAGGACAGGATTTAAACCTTTCTTTTAACACTCCACACAAATTTAGAAAGTTTGGTAGAGTTTCATAACAAAAGGAATTTTTCAACACTTTCATAACGAAAGGAACTTTTATGCTTGTAAAAGCGATCTTTAAAAGTTTTTTCTGTAAGCCCAATATAATAGCCACCTTCATCTTGCGGGTTTGTCTTAACATTACATAAATAGATGACATTTTTAATTAAACATTTTCCGTTAAGTGGACATAAATTAATCAGTCCGCAATTGCATGTTGGAGCATTAAGGTTTGAAGAGTTTGATAAAATTAAGGCAAATATTTGCCTTTATAATTGTAAAATAAATTTTGAGTCTGGCCAAAGAGGGTGAACTTATTACTGAAAATGCCACTTAACTTGCATTATGCAGAAAACAAGGTGAGAAAATTGTTTCAACTTATAGGTAGAATTTCTGCAAATCAGTAAAGTGAATCAGTTTGTATTGGAAATTTTTACAACATCTTGAGAATTTTATACTATTTAAAAAAACATAAAAAAATCTATCAGAGGTGACTGGCTGAGGAAAATAAACTTGCTTTTTTGATACTATATAATTAATGTTGCATCAATTACATTATTGTTTTTATATATTTTACATTACATCACTTACATTTACTTACCAATCAATTAAATTATCATGGATTTTTTATATCTATTATTAGGAGTTAGATCTTTTAGAGCATGCAGGGACAGATACAGTAAAAGAATGAGACTTTGCTGAACGATGATTCAAGGAAAAATGGGGTTTAGTTGATGGAACTAGAGATGATAGCTCCTTTGAACAGTGACCATAGTAGCATTTGTAGAAAAGAGAAAGAGATGCAACTTTACGACAATGGGAAAGAGGCTCAAGTTTAACAGATTGCCAACTGAATTTTACAATATGTTTTTGGACCTTGTCAAGAAGAGAAAGAGCATTATTAGAAAAACCAGCCTAAATATGACAATGGCATTCCATACAGGGATAAATAAAAGATTTGTAGAGGTAGAGGATGGAATCAGGAAAGAGAAAATGGTGATAAAGAAAAGCAACCTTAGCAGATGCTAATTTAGCAATTGATTGTATAAATGGTTTCCATGAAAGGTCAGTAGTATCCAAGAAGAGGTAAAGAAGAGAACTCAGTGAGAGGGTTGCCATCCATTAATATAGGGATGTCGACTGTACTGTGATAGTTGTTAGCAGTAAATAGCTGAAATTTGTTGGAGTTAAAATTTACAACCCACTGTGAGCCCCAATCTGTTGCGGAAGTGAGATCAGATTCAAGATCAGCTACCTGTTCCGACCAATTGAAAATAAATTTTGTCAAGACAGGAATATAAAGTTGAGTCATCAGCAAAAAGAGCTACTTTAGATGTAAGGTTGCCAGAAAGATCATTAATGTAGATAAACAAAACAGGACCAAAGATAGAACCTTGAGGTACCCCAGAAGTTACTGGAAATAAAGAAGAGTGTTGGCCTTCGAGGATGATTTTAATAAAGCGGTTTGAAAGAAAGGATTTGATAATCTCAAAAACTTTACCAGATACACCATATAAAACATGCTTATGGAGAAGACCAGCATGCCAAACTTTGTCAAAAGCCTTAGATATATCAAGAGCAATAGCCCTATCTTCTCCGCCTCCATCAAATGCATGGTAAAATCTTTCAGCTATTTGACTCAAGATGGGACGTGAGAATTTTTTTATCAAAGACTCAAAGACCTTGCCAATAACAGAAAGAAGACTGATCGGAAGATAATTGAAGGGGTCAGAATGTTCAACTGATTTTTTAAAAATTGGAACAACAGATGTCATTTTCAAGCAGGCAGGAAAACAAGACTCAATCAAGCCATTATTAAATAGTTTAGAGTAAATTGAAGAGAGTTTTAAAGAAAAATTTTGTAAGACTGTGACAGGAATGTTGTCTGGACCACAAGCCATAGAAGAGAGTCTAATCGAGATATGACTTGAGCAACGGAAGCTGGGGTAATTTGAATGTCTAACAATGGGTTAACCTGTTTAATTAGAATGGAAGGAAGAAAATAGTCATAAGATTCAAGAGACGAATTAGGAAAAAAGTTCTTTGCAAATAGTTTTGCCCTATTCTTGGGAGAGGTAAATAAGATTAGTCTTATGAGAGATGGAATGTTAGACCTACCTTTGTTAACAACGCTGTTGTAGACTTTCTAAAGTCTCAAGAGCCTAACTTCTGAGATAAAATACAAGATTTAGTGAACTGAGAATAAAAGACTTAGCATCTGACAGCACCTTTTTACATCAATTTCTTGTAATTGAAAATAGTCATTTGTTCAAGAGAGTTGTTCTTTTAAAAAAGATGAAAAAAATGATTACAATCAGATATAGCAGCTGCAGAAGAAGGTAAAAACCATGTAGAATAAGGCTTGACTTGGAACTGACGAGAAGAAATAAAAGCTTCCATTCCTGCTTGATTCAAGTAGGTTACGCAGGATGTGCATTTTTCAGCTGAGAAGGAAAAGACATCAGCCCAAGGACCGCCACAGTCCTGTTAATTAACTCCTAGTCATAACATAGGGCTATTTATGTAGCCTCAAAAATATGCACCAAAAGCGTTAACAGGGACACCATCCATGTGCAACATGACACTGTTAATACTCTGATATTTTGCAACTGTTGATAGAATTAGCCTCTCTGAGAGCTACCACAGAATTCGAGAAACCTTACTACAAGCCATCCTCAGAACCATTAAACTCAGTTTTAGAGCTGTAACCTCATTAGGAGATAACAAGAAGAGTTGCATAGCAACTATCAAAGAGCCAAAAGCAAAAACCTATAAGAAGAGTCAAGAAGAACAAGCATTCGTCATTCTAGGAAGGAAACAATGTATCACAGATTTACATCTACGCTACCCTAATAGATAAAGAAGGGGTTCGAGGTTGGTTAGCAGAATTCTGCTTACCCCTAAAGTCTTTGCCTAGGAGGCCTCCTACAAGACAGTAGCTAGATGCAGTTAACATCTGCCCAAGATGAATATTTTTATGGAGACACTATCTCTAGCCTCTACTCAACCAAAAGTCCTAAAGCAGAGGAATTTTTGCTGGATGCAGTTAAAATCTGCCCAAGATGAGTATTTTTACAAAGACACTATCTCTAGCCTTTACTCAACCAAGAGCCTCAAGGAAGGGATTTTGAGGTCAGAGTTTGTTTCTCTTAGCCTTTACCTAAAAAAGCACACTCTGCAAGGCAGCAGTGCATGGGGCAGGTAGTACTGGGTTACATAACACTAGTATCAGAGTGATCATGATGATCCTGAACCTGACCTGACCTGGAGTATTTAAAAGGAGCAACTTCCTCCAAACAGCACCTTAAAATATTAGTCATGAAATTTCGGAAATGCATTAAGAAAAATATTACACCCAACAAAATACTAGAAATAAGGGTGAGCGTAGGTTTTATAGTTGAAGTGTCTAGTTAGTTAATGAGGTCACACTGCATCAAAACAGGTTTAAATATTTAAACAGAACATTTAAACATTTAAACAGAACACATACATACATAAAGTAACTTGTGAGTGAGTAAATACCACGCCAGAGGTTCAGACAGAACATCAACATACATATAAACATAAACAGACAGAACATAAACATACAGATAGCAACTTATTGGTGACCAGAAGTTTAGACAGAACACAAACATACATATAAAGTAGATTACAGATGAGCTAAAACAGTAATTAAGGCACCTCTAACTATATGAAAGACACACAAAAAAAAATGTAAATAAAAATATATGTATATATTACTATAGGCATGACCAAATTTAAATAGTACGGATGACATAAAGCAAAATCCGTCCGGCCTTTGGTTAGAAAGCAAATCCCACAAAACAGCAGGACATGGAACAGGTTAAACTGGGTTACATGTGGCAGAGTAATCATGAAGACCATACACCAAGTTTGTAACATCTGATGAATACAATCTTGTATGAAACTCTGTGTTATGTTTTAAATAAATCAAATTTTATATATGGGCAATTACGCGAGGTTGTAACATTTGACACTCTTTAAGCTATTAAAAATGAACCGAAAATGGAAATGACTTGAAACTTTCCAGAAATGTGAAATACTATCATATAATTTAGTATGTAAAAAAATCATTTAATGTGTGTATTTAGCACATATTGATGTTACTATATGCTGAGTTTCATAGTTTTTACTAAAAGTTTTACAAGCATTTTAATGTTTTTTTTGTCATGACGGTTGTAACGAAAAAATCCAATGCTTAAAAATAACAAACAAATCAACGTAATCAATGATGTAAGAAAAAAAGTATAAATGATTATTAACAATCATGTATATTATGTTAAAAAAATCCACTATAATATCAAAATTCTCAATTATGGATACGATTTTTAACGCTACTTAACAAGCATGTAATTAAGCGTCAAAACAGGTTTATACAACCCTTACAACTTTAAATCATGCTATGGTATGATAAAATGATTTTTTTTTCAAATGATTTAAACAACTTTTCTGCTTAAAAGTATTTTTAAATAGTTTAAAAAAAAGTTATGGAGTTTAGTTTGTGTTTTCATAACTTTTTTGCTTTTTTTTCTTTCCTCTTTCTTGCGGAATTGCTTTTATATATATATATATATATATATATATATATATATATATATATATATATATATATATATATATATATATATATATATATATATATATATATATATATATATATATATATATATATATATATATATATATAAACCACAAATTTTCTATTTGATTCAAGTTTTTATTTAGACATTGAAAAAAAAGATTTATTTGCTATTCTCCTGATATAAAAAAAATCAGTTAGAACCTCATCTAACTAAAAGATTCAAAGACAGTTAAAAAAAAAATGTCAAATTTATCAAATTCTGTGAAAATTAGTATCAAGTGGGGCCTCCTTTGGCCTTGATAACTTCAGCTAGATGATTTGGCATTGAGTTGACTATATTTTGGGCCTCTTCTGTTGTTATATTTTTCCATGAGCTCATTATAGCTTCTTTCAAGTCTCAGGTTTTTTCAAAGATCAATTGCACTGGTGGTCTTGTGTTTTTGTCCTCCACCATTATTTGTCCTTCAACATTAGCAGCGGTTCCAATCCGATTATGCTTCTTAAAAATTGAGAAAATGAAGATATACTTTGATGCAAATAACATCAATGTTTTGGAATGGCCATCTTAATGTCTGGACTTGAATCTAATAGAACTTTTGTGGTTTATTTTTGACAGAAAAATTGACGATCAAGCATTTAGACGCAAAAATGACTTGAAAGAAGATATAATGAGCTCATGGGATAAAATAACAACAAAAAAGACCCGAAATTTGGTCAACTCAATGCCAAATTGTCTAGCTGGGGTAATAAGGCCAAAAGAGGCCCAATTTCCTTAGAATTTGATCAATTTGACTTTTTTTTTTGAACTGTAAAATTTTCTTTTTGCAGTCAATTTTATGCATCATTAGATCAATTGTGTAAAATTCAATTGGTTTGAATAGCAATTAGTTCACCAATACACAAATAAATTCTTAAAACAATACTTGATATCTAAAAAAAATTTTTAATATTTTAACGGACAACTCATTTTTTTGATGCAATCTTTAAAATTATAATCTTTTTAAGTGTACAATTATTTTTTTTACACCAAATGATAGTTTTAGTAAAACAAAAGATTATGAAAAAAATTATAGTATTAGTAAAAAAATCTTTTTTTGACTAATTTGGTGTTTTACTAATACTATCAGTTTATTAGTCTAAAATGAGTAAAAAATTTGATAGTCAGAAAAAAGTGTAGGAATTTTTCTTTCAAAATCCGTCCATCCGACATTCAAAAATTGCAAAACTGTCATTTGGAGACATATTAAGGAAATACAAGGAGATTTAAACTACTGGAAAAAAAAGAAAAATACATGCAAATCCCATAAAAATCTTGCCAAAAAGTTCAAATGCATTTTTGTTTTCTTGTCAGAAAAGTACTCAAGAGCAAGGCTTACACCAAAAAAAAAAATCTGAAGCAATGAATTGATGGAGAATTAGGAGTAATTTGCCATGCAAGAAAGCTTGCAAGCTTTTCCTTGCAAGGCAAATTGCTGAGGAATTATTTTTAGACAGTAAGTTTTGAGCCCAACTATTTTAGAATGATACGTAACAAATTTTACATTTTGTACTTAGGATTTGAATTTATAGATAAAAATAAATTAAAAAAAAAACTTAAATGAGATTTTTTTTAAAAAGAAAGGATAATATTTAATCATCAATTAGTGATATAATTATTTTAATGCAATTATTGTAAGTATGTAAATATAATTAGTAGTTTAAAATTGCACAATAGATTTGATTATATTGATTCATATTCTAATATTCATTCAATTAACTTTTTTTTCAATTACTCTTTTTTTAAGCATTACAGCAAAATGAAGTTATTTTTTAGATTGAGAGAGACTACTAACCTGAACAGATGACTCTGTCTTACGTTCTCCTTCAATAATCCAAGGTGTTTGACTGAGTTCTCTTGAATATTTATTGTAGCGACCTTAAATATGCAAAAATTTATGAACTGTAAAAGGCATACCAAATAGTTATGCAACTGTAATATTCATTATTAGGGTCAACTATACTTCATTAGAAACCACAAACCTGCTATAAATATTGATTCTTGGCAGGTATTAACACTGAAGGTGCATAATGATCTCACTGATAAAGGTGGAAAAGATATATATCTAATATATAATATATTAGTGTACAGTATATGTAAATAAATGTATGTGTATTATATAAATACATATATTTACATACACTATACAGGCCTTAATATTTACATATACTATGCATATACTATACTATATTTTTATATACTACTTACATATACTATACAGGCCTTTATATTTACATTTAGTATAGACTTTGTTAAAAAGCGTTACGCTGTGTGAATTTTACATACAAAATGGTTATTTCACCTATGTATTAAGCTATTTACATTATGCCAAAACTTTTTTCTACTAGATTACTTAAATAGTCTTATAAAATAGTTTATAAGGAAAACATTAATTAAATTTTCTTATTTTAATTCACCTCCTCAAGGCCGAGAAGGCCACTACAGACAAGGAGGCCACTTATTTTGTGGCTATAACCCCCTCTCAACTCTATAAATCCGAAACACCAACCTTGACGAACAAAGCCGCTGCGCGAAGAAACAAGTTGAGTAAAAAATATTTTCACAGCAATTGTGAAAACATATAAGTTACATGAATTTTTTTATATTTTCTGTTGTTAGAAAATTTTTAATATAAATTAATGTTATTATATTTCAATTATATAAAACTTAAATTATATAAAAAAATTTATTATTAAATATTAACAGATTTCTTTTATTAAATTTAATTAAAATTTTTTAAAAAGAAAATGTGAAAGAAATTGTAACTATATCTAACCTATATAAAAATATTTAAAATAAAAAAAATGTGAATGAAAGTGTAAGTATGTAAGTAAATATATAACTTATGTAAATTTAAAACTATATAAATGTTTAAGTTTTACTTTTACTTAAAAATGGCAGCAATATGTGCTTAATTTTTGATTTATAGCATTTATTTGCCTTATTTATAAAGTTATGAAAATAAATATATCTAAGATAAATATATAGTTTAATAATATTTAATATTAATAAATAATAATATTATTATTATATTTGTTTAATAAGTAGTGTTAAAAACTTATGTATAGTATACATTGGTGGCCTAACTTAAAACTAACAGTAGCTTGCTTTGCAACCAATGTTTAAAGTCAGTGTATTATGGGGATTCAAATCTTCTTCTTGCTCAATAAATCTTTTTTTGTTTTTGTTTCAAATCTTTTCAATTTTTCAAAATACAAATTAAAACAATTTTATAGTTCTATAGATATTATATAGATACATCTATAAAAAAATTACTCTTTTCATCTGCTCAATAAATGGGTAGGTGGGGATTTAATTAACAGGAGGGATAATAAAAAAATACTCAAAATAAACATAAAAAGACTGCAAAACATTTGTTGTGCATTTGTCATCTATGATATTTGTGCTATTAATATGATAATATAATATGTTTATGTAATTAGTTTATAATTGTCTGCGTGTTTCACACACAAAGATTTTATATTTAAACTCTTATTTACTTAAAAATTAACAAACAGGGTGAGAGTTTTAATAAACTCTGGTTAGTCAGAAAAAAACTTAACAAAAGCTTAAAGAAAAAACTTATTAAAAACTAAATAAAGAAAAATTTATTTTTCTTTACTTAGAAATTAGATTCCTTCTTATTTAATTGATGTGAAGGTCTTTGCATCCTCTAAATCTGATGATCATTATGGAAGTGGAAAAAGAGAATAGTATATGTTTTATGCTTTCACATATCTTTTAATTACACAAACATTCAGGCAAGGTGTCCACCCTGTTTCACATGGGCTACTCTTTTGTAGTTTTTATTTTTTCATATTGATTTTTAATTTTGATGTTATTTTTTTTATGAGTCTCAGAACAAAATCATAGAACTGTCATAAAAAAAAACACATAAAAGATTTGAACTCTTATTCAAACAGTTGAAACCTAGAGTTAAGTTTAAACAGAGTTGTGTCTATTAAAGTTTTAAAAGTTGAGTTGTGTCTATTAAAAAAACCATCCATTCTAGATATTTTATTTTTTGCTGTTGTAAAAAATTATGACTTACACAATCTCTAAACAAAAATACAAAAAAAAACAATTTGTATAAAGCCCTCATATTGATTTTGACTATGAAACTATGATAGTATGTAGGCGTTTAATAGTAATTTCTTTTAAATAAATGAACAAACTAAATATATGAAAAAGGAGCTTAAATTATTTAAGTATTTTTTTAAATAACAATATTAATGTTTGTGTGTATGCCAATAAAGAAACAAACATTTCCAAAGGATCAAATACCCATTTTTTAAATAAAAATAATAATGTTTGTGTGTATTCCAATAACAAACATTGCAAACCATTTTGTAAACAATCAACAGAAAATAAAATTTGAAAATTAAAAAAACAAAACTGTTATTTAAATGTTTTTCATTGAGTTTTCAAAAAAAATCAAATTTTTCATCATAAATTGTAAATGTTTTAACTACAGTATAAATTTACAAATAATATAGGTTGTTACTTTGATATTTCTGACTCCTTTAAGTTACTTAAAAAGTCTTCCATTACTTGATTGGTTACTTCTGGTTGTGAATTCTTAGTCTTGCAAAAATACTAAAGTAATATACAAAATTAGAAATATAATACAACATAACATATTTATATGATACAACATAAGATGTTTTTACAAATGATTTTATATACCATCATCATCATCATCATCATCATCATCATCATCATCATCATCATCATCATCATCATCATCATCATCATCATCATCATCATCATCATCATCATCATCATCATCATCATCATCATCATCATCATCATCATCATCATCATCATCATCATCATCATCATCATCATCATCATTATCATCATCATCATCATCATCCTCGTCGCCATCATCATTATCATTAATTTTGAGCAGAAAAACACTTGTTACAAAAAAATTTAATCTGAGTTAAAGACTTCTCTTTAACCAGATTTTCAGTTTTTTGTTCTCTATGATCAAGTGAGATAACAGCGTCAGTGGAATACAAGTGTCGAGTGTGATTCAAGAGGCTTTAACAAATTACTTTCCTACAACAGCAAACTCATTAAAACCAACTGTCTGAGAAAGATTTGCTAGATTTGCTATCAAATCATTGAAGCAAATGAGTTTTTTTTTAAAAAGAAAGTAAGATTAAGAAAACATAATGAGTTTGGTTGTAGTTATCGACTGGTTCGATGGTTCGTCTTCGACTGATTTAATTGGTTGTAGTCTTCAACTGATTTGATGTCTCTAAACCAATAAGACTGTACATTTGAGTTATTTGTAAAACTAGCAAGTTAAAGGTGTATAGTCTAGGCTTTTGAAAATTGCATAAAATCTCTAGCTGGGACCTTTAGTTGGAATAAAAACTCATGACATGAACCATCTCTTTTCTTATTACTACCATTTAGCGATGACTCCAATATCATTAATATCAACTCAGCCTGTCTTGGAAAGAACCAAAAGCTTTTCTACTAAGTATTAATTGGAGGCAAATAAAGACACTGTTTATGACAAGTAGAATTTATGTGACAAACTTTAGAAACTCTCTCTTTTGATTGGCTTTTATTTCTATTTTACTTTTGATTGGCGTTTTTTATTTTACTTTTGAATAGTTTTTTTTTATTTTACTTTTGATTGGTTTTTTTTATTTTACTTTTGAATGATTTTTTTTATTTTACTTTTAATTGGCGTTTTTTTATTTTAATTTTGATTGGCCTATTTTATTTTACTTTTGATTGGCCTTTTTTTTATTTTAGTTTGATTGGCTTTTGTTTTTTAATATTAATTTTGATTGGCTTTTATTTTCATTATTTATTATTGATAGTAGAAGCTCAATAACAATATAATAATTAAAAACAACTTTTGAAAATTTATAATTTGGAGCTTAGTATAATTTTGTTTGTTTAGAATATGTAATCATATTGCTATATTGTTAATTTAGAAAACAGTTTACATTTAATAAAATCAACTTTCAATTTCAAGTAACAGTAATAAATGAATTTATTTGACTGATAACATGAAGTTTAATTTTTAACAATACTTTATACAAACAGTTCTTTAAATGCAAATAAACTTTTTCGAAAAACTTTTTCATGGATGTTAATTGAGGTATACAGATTCAGATTAAAGTTTAACAATAATTGATTTTAAAAATTAATGAAAAAAACAATTAAACAAGACTTAAGATATTAATTAGCATGGCAATTTGATTATATACTCGTTACAAAGGTATGTAACATTAATATTAACAAGAATATATACATAACGAGCGTCATTTATTGCACCAAAAAAAATTCTTTAGACAAACATTCTCTTTGGGTTTTCACACTAGCTATCTATTTATTCATTAATAACTTTACTTATTTGATAAAAACTTGAAAAACAAAGAGCTATAAAAGTTTTTACTGCTTATAAAATATATTTTATATGTTCTTACTGTAATAGATTGTATAATTAAATTATAATTATAAACAATCGCATTTTGCGATCAAAAAAGTCTGAAACTCAAACTTATTACTTTTGCTGATCTCTAAAAGATTGAGGTGGACAAATTATTGCTGCCCTCATTTTTCCTAATTCTGAGGGTGGTATACTTATATATATATATGTATATAAATATAAATAAATATATATATAAATATATATATATATATATATATATATATATATATATATATATATATATATATATATATATATATATATACATATATATATATATATATATATATATATATATATATACATATATATATATATATATATATATATATATATATATATATATATATATATATATATATATATATATATACATATTGTCATATATATATATATATATATATATATATATATATATATATATATATATATATATATATATATATATATATATATATATATATATATATATATATATATATATATTTATATATATATATATATATATATATATATATATATATATATATATATATATATATATATATATATATATATATATATATATATATATATATATATATATATATATATATATATATATATATATATATATATATATATATATATATATATATATATATATATATATATATATATATATATATATATATATATATGACAAGGTATAATAAAAGTCAAATTGTAAAATACCTTTTTTTTGCTTTTCTTTTGAGGACTAAATTTTAAATGATTAATTCAAATAATGATAATAAAAAAAAACAGAACACATCAATAAAGGTTTATCAAGTATAAAATTAAAAATCAAAAAATCATCAAACACAACCACAGAGTAAAAAATAAACAATAAATAAAAAGCTGTGATTTTTTTTAGTTGATCACTTAAATATTTTTAAAGAAAAACAAATTTTTTTTTACATTTACATTTTTCGGAAAAAAAATAAATATTTTTTTGCAATTTCTAAAGAGTTAAGAGATTTTTTTTTTAAAGAGTTTTGCAAAGATAAAAACCGAAATCTTATTTTTTTTCATATTTATTAACTTGCTGAGACAGCTAACAAAAAACACTCTTTGTATTTCTTTGATTTTCTACTGCTACTAAACATAATCACCGTGATAAACATAAGATAAATTATTAAAAACAATCATTAGATAAAAAATTTTAATAAAAAAATTTATTTACATTTTTGATAAATCAGCTGTGTTTGTTTCATGAGAATAAATTAAATCAACCAAAACTGTACTCTAAATCATGAATGCTTTTTCAAACTTTGCATCTTAAATAATTATAAATATAAAAAAAAAAGAACAAAAGAGTAGTAATACCTTAGAGCAATGTTTTTTTAGTGAGAGTTCGTCTACTTGTTGAATAATTTTATATTTCAATGATTCTTTTATGGGAATTACATTTATCGAACTATTTTTTATTCTAAAAATTCAATTAAAAAAAACTCAAACAAAAACATTCAAAAATAATTCAACAAAAATATTCTTTGTCACACCTCCCCACAAAAGTGTTCGTGTTTTAAAAAAGTGCACACGCCTAAAGTAAGTTTTTCTAGCAAGGTATTATAAGTGATCACTAAAAAAGTATTTGACAAAATTTGAAAAGCATGTCCCATCAATTAAGAGTGTTTTTTTCATTTTAAAATTAAATAGTTTAATAATTTTAAAATAAGTAAACAATTATATTTGTAAATCTATTATATATATATATATATATATATATATATATATATATATATATATATATATATATATATATACATATATATATATATATATGATTTAAAAATTGACATCTTGTACGAGAGTAAATATATATATAAACTAATGTAAAACATCAGATAATACGAATTTTCTCAATACTAAATAATTTATTTGAAATTTTCGCTGGATTATAGGCACCGGCATCATCAGCATATAATATAATATAATTATAAAAATTGTGACCGTTAAATAACAACAACAAATTTTTTAAATTTTGACGTCACCTTTATAATGGCTTTTTTTACCTAAGTATGAAAAAAATGAAGTCCAAAAATTTGTTCTTAAGTATTGTCCATTGTCCAAATTCATACCACCGTTTGTTGGAGAACATTGATGTTTTTGTATCTCTAAAGCCTCACGGACTTTTCTTTCAAATTTTTTATCCTCAACTTTAAGTGTTATTACTTTATTCCATTCAATGTCCTCATTACAATTTACTTTATGCAAAGCTAATGCAGATTGGTTTAACTTGCCTTTAGTCAAAAATTTTTGGTGTTGTTGAACCCTTGTTTGTATTTGAAGTTTTGTTTCACCAACATATACTTTGGAGCATTTGCACTTAATTAAATAGGTTCCTGGGGTGCTGTTGCATGGTAATTTAGACTTATTTTTAGACGTTAATAGCGTTTTTAGATTAGCATTTGATTTTAAAAACAGTTCTGTAACCAGCTTTACTGAATATTACTATTATTATTCAGAAAAGCTGGCTTTTAAATCAAATGCTAACCTAAAAACGCTATTATATATATATATATATATATATATATATATATATATATATATATATATATATATATATATATATATATATATATATATATATATATATATATATATATATATATATATATATATATATATATATATATATATATATATATATATATATATATATATATATATATTAAACAAGTAAAATAAACTAAGTAGTGGTAAAAACCAGAAGCCTTTTAAAAATATTATTAAGTTATAAATTATAGTAGATACTTACAGTTAATTTTTTGGTTAATAATTACTTTAATTGTTATTACTTTATTATATAATTTAATTATTGTATATAGTTTAATCATATTACATAATATAAATAGATTTTAAAATATTGTATTATATAATAATGTTTATATTATATATTTGTGTATTATGCAATATATTAAAATTTATACTTGTGTTACATAATCATACTATATAACAAAATATAATATAAATGTATTATATAAGTATGTTTTTTAATCTAGCTAAAAGTTAAATAAACAACATAGAGTTTGACATATAATGTCTAATTTTGCAGTAACACACTTTGATGCTCGTCATAAATGCTGATGTAATTTCTGTTTGCTATTTGATATGCAAACAAATAGCAAACAGAACACTTTCAGATACAGCTTTGATACTCATTAAAACATTGGTTTTACTAACCTATAGCATTGAAATTCCATATTTTGCGACTGGAATATGCAACACCTGTAACAGAGTATTATTACTACATGGAAAACTCTATGTGTGAACTACTCATCCTCTTCATATAAATCTACTTGCAGCATCAGGAGTAGTTCTCTCCGTCCTAACCAGAAGTAAAAATCTCTGTGATTATACTATCTGCAAAGTAGTAAAATCAACAATACCTGGAACAAAAAGAACTAAACCTAAAGGTAGACCAAGAGTTCAGGAAAAATCATCCAAAAAAGTGTCTACAACTATATGTAATCAGTGCTTTCAATCCATTGATTCATTACGAGGTCATAATTGTACAAAGGTTTTTGGTTCAACAAACCTTCGTCAGATGATTGAAAACTCCTTGAATCAAGAAGTAGGAGAAAAATTAGCTGCAGATCAAATTAGAGAAAAGTTTGAAGAACCAGAAATTGCATCCCTTAAAACAGGAGGGCGATCATTTACAGTTTCAAAAAGATCAATAAAGCCTCTGCAAAGTCACAAAGATTTGATGGCCATTAAGGTTGATAGAAAGTTGTCTGGTTCTGATATGGATGCAATATCAAAAGCGATTTGGGTTAAACACGGTCGAAAATCAATAGAAACTGGGTATATAACACTCATTAATATATTCATAAATTCATGGTATATAACAATTGTTCTTTAACTTCTACTTTTCAGCAGTTGACTTTGATTTCTATAATTCGAAAACTAAAACTTTAATTGTGCGACCTGTTGTTCTTGTTAAAGATGTAGAAGAACTCACCTGGAAAATGATTGAAAAAAGAAAACAAGACGCTTTTAATGTTAAGGTGAAAAAATTTGATGATGGTGCTGGAGGTTTCTTTAAGCTTGCAATTGGTACTATTGATGTGGCAAGTTATTTTAGTCATGATATCATCAAGACATCAAACTATTGCAAGGGAATTTGTCCAAACCTGAAAAATAAAAACTTCCATTGGTCAGGCACTCATATGAATAGTTCCAAATATTCAGGAGAATTATGAAAACTGTGCTGTCTTTTTCAAAAATATTGACTTTAAAATTTGAAAATTCAGTTTAAAATTTGCACTGATTTGAAACTACTTAACTTAATTTTAGGACTTCAAAATCATAGTTCAAAGAATCCTAGTTGTATCTGTAATAATAGTACAGATTGTGTAGATTGGCTTTACTCTAGAGGAGATAAACGAACCTTTGGATCAATTAGAGAGCAAAAACTTGCTCGGAAACAAGGATGTAATTCTGACTCATCACTGAAAGAATTTTATAATTGCAAGAATCAACCACTTCTGCCAGGAGATGATGAAACTGAAGTTATGGAAGTATGCAATATACCCGAACTTCATCTCTATACAAGAACAACTTATCTATTTTGGAATAACTTATCAACAAGATGGGGACAAGAAAATTGGGAAGTCTTCTTAGAAAGGAATTGCCTTGTCAGACAAAAACTTCACAGTGGAGAGTTTGAAGGAAACCAGTGTAAGAAATTTATGAGATTAACAAATAAGCTTAGAGATGCTCTTCCTGACGATGCTTTCGATACTGTGGCTTACTCGTGTTTTAGCAAGATACTTGGTATGGATTTTAAAAAAGCAATAAATGATTTTTTTGATATTTTTGTTACTTTGGAGATCAAAACAAAGGGTACCAAACTCCATATATTATTTTGCAATGTAAAAGAGTTTTGTAGAAATAATGGATACGGACTGGGAATTTACAGCGAACAGGCAGGAGAAACTATTCACTCAAGATTCAGTAAGTTTTTCAGATACAAACTTCCAAGTGATTTCTACAAAGAAGCATACAAAAACGATCTATTACGTGTTGTACTTTCATACAATGCGGAGAGAATTCGAGGCTTTATTATGTCAGTCTATATCAACTAACAAAATGTTTAAACTAAAATATTTTATTATTGATTTTGATAGGAATCTTTAATTTATTAATATGAAATATAATATATGTTTTTAGTAGCTTATTAGTTACTAGTCTATGCCTTAAATAAGTTTTTCTACAAACTTCCTTTTAAACCTGTTGTTTTTCTGCTTACTACTTGCTTTTTCTACTTATATGTTAATGAGAGAAAAACACACTTTTTTTATATCACAATAAACGCCTTTTTTTTTCAGGACACACTTTTCAAATTTTGTGAAATACTTTTTTGTGTACACTATAATCATACCTTGCTAGAAAAACTTAATTTGGGCGTGTGCACTTTTTTGAAACATAAACACTGTTTATTAAACTTGTGAGGAGGTGTGTTGTATTATTAAAATTTTGCACCAAAAAATTTACAAAAAATTTAAAAAATTTAAGTACCAAAATAAATTAATAAGTTCAACTTTTTTTTTTTATTTTGTTTAAATTTATTTAAAATTTTAATTTATTTTTAAAATGTGGGTTTTTTTTTAAAGAACACAGTTACATAATAACAAAAACTACCTGTAATGTGTTTTGAAATTTGAAAATGATAAGGCAGGTCAAAAATAAAATTAAATTTTATTTTTGACTGCCTTATCATTTTCAAATTTCAAAACACATTACAGGTAGGAATTGAATGAAATTTTTTTTTATCTTTTTCAAATTTTGAATTTGTACTTAGTTTTGTTTTCTTGCAACCCAATATGTAATCTTATGTGTAATTTTAACAAAAAACAAAAAAAAAAACAAGTAGATGTTGAAAAAAAAATGTTTTTATTTGGGTGATTAAAATATAGCAAACCATTCTATTAAACATTCTAACCACCTGCTTCAGGTAACCAAATGGTTAATGCAAACTTTGTTAGTTAATAAGACTATTTTTTCAAATGCAAAAAAAAAAAAAAAAAACATTTTAAATTTGAACCAAGGAAGTTTTGCCAATAAGTTATCAATCAACAAGAGGATGTCAAATGAAATATAAATATGAAGTAATTAATTTTTTGCCTAAAAATTATTTTTTAACAACCAGAACATCTTTTTATTGAAATACTTAATGACTATCTAATGATGTTGTTAACTATTTCTGTGAACTCATTTGAAGCTAAACCCAGCAAACATTCTATAGCAGAAATTACTTAGTGGACCATTAAGTAGCAGCCACCCAAAGTGGCTAGCCAATGACTAGCCACAATTAACATGTTGGAAAGCTGTTGGCTTGCCATTTTTAGTAGCTGCCACTATTGGTCACTATTGGTCCACTAAGTAATCAGCCAAGTAAAAAAGCCACTATTGGTCCACTAGGTAATCAATGAGCAAAACTCCTATGAACCGCTCAAAATGCCTATATAGGTCCATTACAATCCACTAAAACAATGTTTGCTGGGAAAAGTATGTCATTTTGGGTTTCAAATGAAGCGAAATTTTTTAAAACTTTAAAAATATTTTATTACAAAATCTTCAAAAAATCATAAAAAAAATTTTTATGATTTTTTTATTTTGTTAAAAAACTATAACTTTTATGCAATAAAATATAAAAAACTAATTTGTATATATTTAAAATTGATTATTTTTGAAATGTTTATATAATTTCACTTCTTTTGAGACAAGTTGACATATTTAAAAAAAAAATTAATGATAATATTAGGAATCCATCTAATTTTCAAGGGAGCAACTCGTAAATATAGTTTTTAAACCTAATTTCGAAATTCATTTTATTATAAAGAACACAATTAGGGGGTGAGAGTAAACATTTTGGAAAAGTTTTTGGAAATATTTTGGATAACTTAAAAAGTTTTTAAAGTTACTACTTTTATATAATGAAAATATGTTATGACCTACATTATGCAATTTTTAAAATATATGAACTGCTTAATGCAAAAAAGAGTTGGGTCACAAGATAAGACAAATAACTCATAAAATGTTAAGTAAGATGAATATGTTAAATTTTGAGTAGTATAAATCTTTCTGATTCAAAATTTATTTTAAAAAAATAAAAGTTCGAACTAGAGAGATTTTCGAAGTATAGAAAGTTGACTTTTTACTGTGACATTTTAGGGTGGCTTAGCATTCAATTAAATTATGGAGGTGTTCCAATTAAGGAGATTTAAACTTAATTTTAAAATAGAAGCAGAGCTTTGTATTTTGTACCCTTTGTATCTTGAATAAAGGGTAATACAAGCTTTTCAACATAGTAACGTAAAATTTCATAGTTTAACACAAAAGAGTCAGATGCTAATCATGCAAAAAATCCTACAAGTGATTTATGCTAAGATATTTTTAGTTTTTTGCATAAAACTAGATTCATATGACATAATCCTTATTAGCATCAAACAATTTATGAGTATTTCAATTAAGTTAACCATGTGCACTATAACCATACGTTTTTTTACAGAGATAATGTAATATATTTTATAGAGAATTTTTATACCATCAGTTTATATAATTGATAAATTTTTTTCCTAAAAACAAAGAAAAAATGAGATAAAAGGAGCTATAAAACCTAAAAACTGTTGTCACAATGTAATCAAACACTGTAACCACAGTGCATTGTTGCACTGAACATTAGACTTTTAATCGAGCGAGAGGATACTTTATTTAACATCCACTTTTTTTTCTTAATTATGTTATTTTATGTTAAAAAAAAATTTCATTTACACCAATAATAAAAGAATAAAATAATAAAGGTAAAAGAAGACAATAATAAAAATGAATAAAAAAGAATAACAACAGATAAAAACAAAAGTTTTAATGTTAAAATGTTTATAACATTCTCATTAATAAAAAAAACTTACAGTTTTTTTTGCTTGATAAAAACCGATAAGGAATACTAAAAAAAAAATCTTACTATTTATCTCTTTATATTAATACTTAGTAGTAGTAGTAGTAGTAGTAGTAGTAGTAGTAGTAGTAGTAGTAGTAGTAGTAGTAGTAGTAGTAGTAGTAGTAGTAGTAGTAGTAGTAGTAGAAGTAGTAGCAGTTGTAGTAGTAGAAATAGTGTCCACTTGTGTGTGTTTGACAACTTTTAGCAGCCATTAAAGTTAAGGTAATGTTGACAAATTCTCTCAGCATATATTTTAAAAGAAAGTAATATACAAACGTATAAATACATATGTAATAGCAATATGTCATATAAAATTACAAAAACCAAAAAATTACATTTGGATAGCGTTATGTAAAAACATCTGTAAGGGTAAAGGTCTTTAGTATAAGTTAAGATTGCCGGCAGTATATGAAAGGATTGTGTACAATCCCTTTGTAATATGAGAAAACTTTGAAATTTTATTTTATAATTCGAAGTCTTTTTTGCTATTAATATATACAGCAAGATTAAAAAAATTGAAACATTTATTTATGGTAAGGGTTGGATTTGAACTATTGGAAACAACACAGCCCCTGAGCTATTGGAAATAAATATTAATCACACTTTTCTAAATAAGCACAACTTTATTGCATAGCAACTTGCAACTTTATTGCATATGTAAATAATAAAATAATAAAAAAACTGTGAAAGATTCCACTTATATAATATTAGGTACAAACATCTCTAAGTGTAAATATCAGTATGTTAAGTTGAGTTTGCAGTCGCATATGAAACAATCGTAAATAATTTTTTAATAACTATAAGTCTTTTTTGCTTAAACTGTTTTGTTTTGTATTTAAAAATGAAAAAAAAAGGGATGTCAGTACAAATGACAGCGTACTTAACAACTAGGTTACTGAAGATGTATGTTTTAAAGATTAACAAACAATTTTATAACCTTTTTATACGATTCACACTTTTTAAGCAAAGAAGCACATCTAATAAAAAATTTAATAAAAAAGCAGTCATTAACATACAATAATAACTGATGAATTCATTTATTAAACTTTAATTTTTTTTTGTACTTGAAAATTCTAGTTATAAAAACTATTTATATTCAAATTAAATTTGATGACCACAAACTAAACAAAGGCCTTTTCTATAAAACAAATTTTCAAATTGCTCAGAACACACAACACGTTCTCACCCTAGCTGTTTGAAGTTTCTTATCAGCTGTGCAATTCAAAGTGTTTTAAAACAAGACAGAGCTTCAGCTCCTGATTTCTAACTGGATGCAACTATCTTAATTCCTTATTTAGGCAGTCAAACTCTCTCTCTCCTCTTCATTCAACAACTCAATAGTTTTAAGTTGGTAAGTTGTTTAACAAAAAGTGGTACATTAAAAATGAGCTCACGCATTTTTCGAGTGATACTTCCCTTGAAAAAGTATGTATGGAACTCTAAAATAAATTTATATAAATTAAAAGCTAACTTATATCAGTATCAGAAAGAAATTTTCCCTTAAAAAGAATTGCTTGCAACTTATTAAAAACACTAAATACACATAAAAACCTATTTCTAATCGATAAATCATCAATGACACAACAAAGTTTATAGTGATTTTCTAAGACTATTTTGCAATAATTATCTACAAATACATTACCATGGTAATGGTAAAGCTTGTGGTAAATCTTCATATCATCAAGGGCCTAAAGTAGAACCCTCTCATTAGACCCTAATTTTTTTTATGATTGTCACATTCTATCTGTAATCTATTATAATCAATGTCTAAAACTCCTTTTTATAAAAGGAAGTTTTAGACATTGATCATAAAAAAAAGCAATTTTTTCAGAAATATATATACCAAGTCTTTCTACATCTTCACCCTGATATCCTAAACACTTATATTTCTCTATACACACATTACATTCTTTTCAGAATCACCATTAAATTCACAATATTGATGAAACCACCAGAGGCACATACTACACGGCACCCAATCATTATTAGAATATTTTACATTTTTTATTTTTATTGGAGGAGTTTTGAGATTTATGTTTTAATTCATAAAAATTATTATTTTTTGTTGGCTATCCATCGTGCCTGTAGATTTCCAATGTCTACAAATTGTATACTTACCAGAAGTGCAAGGTTTCTGCTGTATTAAAATATTCAACGCTTTTAGCAGTCCATATTTTTTCTTGTTCCACAGCTTGACAATATTAAGTCAATAATTTATACAGTTTTAACACTATTTATAATATGCAAAAGAGGAGACACAATGTTTTCTAAAGTTATCAGAAAAATCACAGGAACAATAATTTAATAATGAAACTTACTTATAGTTTTTAAGTTTCCACCATGACTACCTTCACACAAGTTTGCATTGTAAGCCTCTTCCAAATATTGCATTGATCTCCTTAAGATATTACAATTAGCAGATGTGTGAGGCAGAAAGGCATGGCTTCTTAGAGATTTTAACTCAACTAGGTCTGTAGAACTAGGAAAGCTAGCAGCTAAACTCTAGTGTCCCAGAACATTATTAATGAGATGAAAATCTACACCTAAGAACAACTTGATTTTTTTGCATGTTAATTTAAAGTCTGACGACTGAATTCAGTTGTAGGCATAACTCTGGAGAATAAAGGCAATATTATCATAACGAAACGTGATACATGCAAAATAAATGAATATCATACACAGATCCAGATGAATTAGAATTGACAACTTAAAAATATTAAATTTTATATACTTTCCACCTTTATCTCTTGCAAAAAAGAGCTATACCTCTTCGCCAAAACTAATATCAGAGTTTAAAGATTATTAAAAACTTCTTCAATATAAGTTGTCAAACTCTTAACCATTAATACTGAACAAGGTGCTTTATTCGCAGATGGATGGACTTCACAGTAACATGCTCTTTACTGGCATGCATTGTTCGCATTTCTTGTTCTTGTCTTATCTTGGGTTTAGATGGGAAAATCTTTGAACCAAGATTACGCAGAATACACCTTAGCCTTTGAAATTCAGCTGTCGACATCCTTAATTGACTTTGCAACTCAACAGCATCAAAAACATTTAACTGCACAATAAAACTTTATAAAACTTATTTGCAATACACTGAAGTATTGACTTTTCACAAGACAGAATATCACAAAACAACAAAAATAAGTTACTATCTAAATCTGAACCAGCTAACAATTGAAGGAATATAAAGGTAACTTTAGATCGTTTAGCTGTACTATGTCTACTTAACTTAGAATAAGGTTTATCACAGCTTAATGTAAATTTATTTTCTAACAGATTATTAAATAATTTAGTATGAGGTTTACTTAAATAAAATCCTTATAATTAGTTCTTCTGAAACATTTCAGAATTATATATAATTATAGTCTAAAAAAAAATCTACAACAAAAAAATCCTTATTATCACAAACAAAACATTTGCAAATATGGCAACTGTGTTGTTTTATACCATGAACTTTTACAATGTATTTTTTCAAGTTAATTTTTACCACAAGCAAATTTAAGTTGAGCTGTTTTCAAATTTTTTTCAAAATTAAGTTGGAAACACTCCTCCTGTTTTTAGCCTAATACTCATAGCCTTAGTTAAGTTATCCTAATGAGTTACAATGTGTGTATAGTGCCTGGTTTTAAAAATTTAAGTCCATTATTCAATCCTTGGAATTAGGATCGGCATTCAGTAATCACGACCTATCTGCTGATCTAGAAGTGTTTTAGGTCGGCAAAAAATTGCCAACCTTGTTACTATGATTTATGGTTATGGTTTTTGTATCAAATTTTTTTTGCCGACCTGATGCCAACCTCTAACAGATTAAGGTCAGCAAAATATTTCTGACCTCATTTTATCAAACTCATCAATACTAAGCAAATTAAACTCATTGGAAAAAAAACTTAAAAAAACTAAACAACACATTAGATCGAAAGACTGAGAGTTAAATAGAAATCACATTGTTGGTGATTTTATCAGTAATAATAATTCGCAAAAGGAAAGTTAAATTCATCTACCCAACTTATCTTTCCATCCAATACATAGTTTCAAAATTTTCCATTAAGTAGAATACAATGCTATAAAATTATTTTAAATATTGTGATATATAATTAAAATACAAACAACTCAAATAAAATAAAATTTATTGACAAAAAGATCCAGTATAAAAGGATTAAACAACTTATCTGATTACTAGTCAAACTCTCCACAAGCCAAGAAAAAAAATTGCATAACTTTATTTATCTTATACTTCAAAATTTTGCCTAAATGACACAGTAATTCTGCTGAAATTCATAAGATTCTAGCTTGGGACGTAATGCATTTAAGGTTATGTCGTTGCTTTAAAATGTAAACAAAAATTTTGTAACAAAAACACTCCTTTCCTTTTACCTAAATAAGACAAGTTTGAAATCATTCTTTATAAAATAGCTGAAGATATAAAAAATTATTTATGTCCATAAATGGATGATATATCAATGATTTGGTGGATATTACAAAATTAATATCTATTTCATTTAAAATAAATAAAAACAAAATAACAAATGCATTAAAATTTTTTTTTTTAAATAATTATCAATATCCACCAAAAGTTAGATAGAACAGACATTTATTGATAAGTGTTCCAAATTTCAACCATCAAGCATAAAGATAGGTTATAAAATCTTAGCTCAACTGTAAAAATCATCAAAAACAAAAAAGTGATCCAAATCATTAGAAATGTATTAACGATTTTTTTTCTGCCTAATGTAAATATTTGTTTATCAAGGAAAGCTGAATCTTTTATAATCTTTTTTTATTTAAAGATTAAAGCATGAATAGAAAAAATTTAATAATATTTTAAAATCATTAAATTTTGAAACTTTCTATGCAGAAGTTGTTTATTTTATGATAAACTTGTGATGTAATGCCATATTCTACATTGCATGAAACATCTGTGCCATAACAAGAAATGCCAATTTTTTGGTAATTTTTGCTTTTATCTAGAGCAAAACAAGGTGATCCCGCACACAAGGTATAACTCACCTTTTTCTATGCATTGCTTTTTAAAGAGGGATTTCTTTTATTACTTTAAATCTATTCTAACAGGAACTATAAATATATATTTATATATTTATTTATGCTGTAGTGGCAGAGCGATTTTGATCCCTACCATGTCTCTGGTAGTACCAAACTCAATTTGTTTCTTGGCACAGCTACTTTATTGATCTAGGTTCGTGTTCCAACGTTAAAGAGTTGAGAGAGAGTTGTAACCACAACTAAAAGTAGCCTTCTAAACAGTAGTGGCCTTCATGGCCTTTGGAAGGTGAATTGAAATATATTAAAGGTATTGATTAATTACAAACACTATTAAAAATTACAAAAACATGGAAATAGACTTAATATATGTAAAATAATGAAATTATCATAACCTGTGTAATACGAGTCGTGGTAATTCTATTCCACACCAACCATTTCGATACTTTTTCTTTATATAGTTTATAATTATAAAAATAAATAAAAATCTGTCAAATCTTTGCTTTGAGTAAACGATTAATGTTCAATACTTTATAACTTTTTATTGTAAAATTGTCAACTTCTATAAAAAAAAAACCGGGGACTTATAAATTTTTTTTCTTTATTAAGTTTCTATTAAGTTTTTATTAAATTTTTTTCTAGACCATCTGCAGCCTAATAGGATTAATTTTGAAGAAAATAAAAGTTTGAGTGTAATATCTTTTTTTCTATAAGAAAAAAGGTTGTCCATTTTAATGTGTGTTAATGGCACAGACTTAACTAATTACCTCAGCACATTAGTAACTTAAGTAACTTTATCATGACATATGCGCATAAAATTTCTACCGCTGTTTTAATGTTTATTGAAATTTTGGGCATTTTTAAAAACTCTCTCCCTTTTGCTTGTTATAGTATATAATTTCTTTATATATGTTATAATTTCTTTATATATGTTATGTATATAACACCAATAGAACTTTAAAAATGTTTTATTTTGTATTTTAGAAAATTGAAAAAGATTATAAAAATTAATTTAACATGCAGACAAAAGGATTTGAACCCCCATGATTCACTGCAGAAGCACAGCAAGCTAACCATTTTGTCAACCAAGGCATACTTTATACAAATTTCTATTACTATTTAACAAACAACTTAATAAAACTTTATAAAATGGCAAATAAATGCTATAAATTAAAATTTAGAAGATGTTGCTATGTTACCACAAATGCAATTTTAAAGTAAAAGTAAAACTGTAAAACTTGATAAAATTTTTAACATAATTTAACATAATTTGAAGTTTACATTAAGTTGTAATTTTTGTAATTATTTAACTTGTTGGTATATTTAGTAAAATGATTCATACCGCTCTAATGAGAATGCATTGAGGTAGTTGAATTGCAAGAGTATATAAAGGTGCTTCATACTTTTTAAGCTGCTCAACTATCTTAAAAAAAAATAATAAAGTTCATTTTATAAAACAAATAAATAAATAATCTATATAAAGTACAATCAGTAACAAAGCATACATACATAATTAATTTAATTTGTAACATATTTTTGCTTCTGCAACACAATGATCACATATAGGTGACAAATGGAACTGCATATTTACATAGATTAGAGGAAATGATTCTAAGAACTGTTAAGTAGAGGAAATGATTTTAAGAATTGATTGTTATTGTAAAAAACATGGTGGACACAAAATTTTAAAAGTTAAATTACAGGACCTTTTCAGGACATTCCAGGGCATTTTGTTGGGTTTTCCAGAACATTTTATGTCCTATTAAATGAATATTATCAATTATCTTTACATTATATTTTTTTCATATCGATTGAATTATAAAATAGAATATTATATTAATATTATAGTTTAAAATAATTTGGCTATATATATATATATATATATATATATATATATATATATATATATATATATATATATATATATATATATATATATATATATATATATATATATATAGGCCTTGTTACGAGATTTCGCTGTGTAACAAAAAGCAAAACGTGAAAAAATGTAACTTTACTCAATAAAGATATTTACATTGTTAAAAGTTAAACTACGTCAGTTGCGTTTTTACTTCATTGTAATTAAATTTTAAATGACATTAAAAGCTATTGTTAGTCTTTGAAATGAAATAGCTTTAAATTGAACAATATTGTTATAAAAAAAAAAAAAATAAAGTTTTGATATTGATTAAAAAAAAGTCTTCTTGTATTAAAATCTGTACTTACAACTAAACGCATAGATTAGGTTTTCCCCTTTTTAAAAAAACGTTTGCACTCACTGGTTTTGATAAAATAAATATTGTAAAGAAATGAAATTTACTGCTTTTTGGCTTTGTTTTTTTTTTTATTTCCATTAATCCAAAAAAAAAATAGTGTTTTCAGTTTTAAGATGTTATAAAGCAGAATTTGTTTTTAACAAATATCATTATAATTTTGAAATTTATGCATCTTATATTTATAGTAGTAGTACTAGTTTTGTTTTTAAAACAAAATAAATATAAGTTGGGCTTTTAAAGAGTTTATTTACAGATCACGTTATTTTTAATTGGTTTGAACCCAAACATAACATTTATAACTCGAGTTTAAAAGAACTTTTTTGTATTGATGTTATTTATTAACTTGTAGTTATAAAATGAATTTTCTGCTTCTGTAAATAATGAATGAAACTGTAAAATAATGGAAAAATAAAAACTGGAAAATAATGCGCTTCTGTTCAGCGCATTATTCAGACCAGTATTTGGAACTGGAACTTACCTGAAACTTAACTGAAATTAAAATAAAGTTATATGTAATACGAACATTTTAAAGTAACTTGAATTAAATATATTAAATCTTTTTTTACTTTGGAAATTTTATCATGAAAAAAAATTATAAAACGGAGCATTTTAAAATTAAAAAATTTTAAAAAGCTCTGTTTTAAAACTAAATAAAAGAATTTTAATTAAATTTAATAAATTTATTTACTAAAAACTATGATTAATAAAAAAATATTTAAATTTAATAAAATAAATTAAAAATATATATATATATTTTTTTAACCTGAATGTTTTTAAACTTATGAAATATAAAACTTAATATTAAATATGATAAAAAGTTTAAACTTAAAACACTTATTTTTTTTAAACTAATTTTTAACAACAACAATAAAAATAATTAAACAAATTTTTCTTTAACAAAAAATCTATTAGTTTACGATTGCGGTTAAATGCTTTTACTTACGACATTATTTTCTTCTGAATAAACGTCACATAAAAAATATCAAATGATAATTTAAATATTCTAAAAGATTAAAGTTTTTGCGTAAAGCAAAACTGCTGAACGCGTAGGCAGTTCAGCAGTTTTGCTGAACTGCCTACGCGTTCGCAGGCAGTTCAGCAAAACGCCTTTTCGCAGGTAAAATGCGAGCTGTGTAACGGTTCTTAACAAGGCCTATATATATATATATATATATATATATATATATATATATATATATATATATATATATATATATATATATATATATATATATATATATATATATATATATATATATATATATATATATATATATATATATATATATATATATATATATATATATATATATATATATGTATGTATATATAAGCCTCTTTTCAAAATTTAAGGATTTTTTTTCTGTCAGTGATAACTAGAAAGAAAAAAGTAAATTAATATATTGGGGCCTCTAATACATAAGTAGCCTCTGATTTTGATTCTGATTTCCTCTGATTTCAGCCCCTGTATATGTACATAACAGTTAAACAGAATTTTTTTATTGAAATCATACTCTTTAATGGAACTATATAAACAAAAATACTTACAAAAAAAGATAATTAAAACTCAAACAATAGAATCTCTTTTTAAACATAAAGCTTTTTCTAAACTATCAAGCTCTTGCAATTTTAAAAGTTTATCTTTTGATGACTTTCTTAAATCATTTAAAGTAACTATAAAACTGGAATCCTTTTTTTCCTCTGCTTTTAATGCATATTTGCATATTTATCTGCTTCTTTTATTAAATCATCAGCTAATGCTTTAAGTAGTTTCTTTTTTCGAACAACATCATCAATTTCAATGGAAACAGCTTTTCTTTTTAAACCTACAGTTGATATATCTTTAACTTTTTTTGCACTTTCCAACGCAACTTTATATTGCATTCTTGATGATTTAACAGATTTCAACATTTCTCTAGTAATTAGAATATCAGCAGCATTTTGTCCCTTTGATGAGTTTTTATCTCTCTTTAAATGGCGAGTAGTTTTTGCCAATATAACAGAATTTATATTCTGCACAAATAAATTTATAGACAAAAAATAATTTTTATTTAAATTTTCAACTAAATAATCCTTATTTACTTTGAATCCACGCTCAATGGCAGCCTGGCCATGAGACAAACAAAATAAAATTATGCAGACATCCCAAAAAGATGTATATCCATTTACAGGTATATGAGAAAGAAATATATCCAAGCTATCTTCATATTTTTTGAATGACAAAAACTCTGTATTATGTTTACGAACAACATTTATTATAAATTGAAAATACTCTTCATTTGCTTTGTCACCAACTTTTGATTTTAAATGTCCAGAAGCCACTAATTTTTATAATAATTTGAAAACTTTAATTTGTTAAAGTTTTCAAATTATTATAAAATATTTTATGGAAGATTTTTCTAACATGTGATTTGCAAGTGAAAATAAAAATATCATACATCTAATATTTTGAAATTGTGTTTCCATTTGATGTTGATAATTTTTTATATTTTTAAACTTCCATATTGGCTGACAGACCAATATAAATTATATCTTCTCTTTTGTATAACATTGGATCTGATAGATTTAGCTTCATTATTTTCCTAATTGTATCAGATTTTTCTAATACATCATTCAATAAAAATATACTGAGAATGTTAACTAATATGCTTTTTAAAACATCAAATAAAAATAGGACCATTGGTTTATCACTTTGAAAACCTTTCAGAAATAGATTTGACTTTTCAGCTACGAATTCTAATTAATAACAATAAACAAAGGATCTTTTATTGTATCTTTTAAAATATTAAACCACTTTTCACAAGGTCGCTTTGATTTTGGTAAACTTTGTAAGTGTTCAATATACTTTAAATATCTAGGAAAAATACTTGCTGCTTGTTCACAACAGTTTTAATTCTCACAACAACGATGGGCACAATAAGGTAAAGGGTAAACCTTTATCTTAGATACATTTTCATAGATTTCTCTACGTAAAGGACATTTATTGAGAAAGTTCCACATTGCTTTCAATTTTTCATAAAGCTTTCATTTAGATTTATTGATTGATGTTTTTAGGCTTCTATGAATTGTGTGGAGGCCACACATACCAATATCTATTAGGGCTGGATACTCATTAAGTTCATGATTTTCTTTAACAAGTTCTAAAATCTTTAAATTGACATTAGGGCCATCTGAAGACTTTTTGTATGTTAAGTCGAAATACACCTTGGTTAAAAGATTTTAATAATTGCTCTGAGTTTGCACCTCCTAAAAATTGTGAGTCAAGATATCTTGTAAAAACCTGATTTGAATCATGGTTCCAGAATCATACAATAATGTCCATTTGACCTTTTTGCATAGTCCAATTTAATGACTCATCACACGATATTACAAAAACAGGTGAATAAAAGCCACATGTAATACCTATCTAATTTCAGCAGTTATTACTTGTTCATTTAAAAATATCATATCCAATGTTTTAGAAGTAGATGGCTTTTCAATAACCTGAATTGTACTAGTTTTTAAAGGTGATGAAATAATCGATTCTGAAAAATAATTGCATAATGAACTTAATGCAGGAAGTAATAACTTATTATGTTTTTTACTTTTAAGATGACTTTTTAATGCATTTTCACCGATATTTCTAGCATTAATGTCTTTTTTACAAAAAGATATTTCTAACATTAGTGTTTTTTTTACAAAAAGAACATGATGCAACTGTCAACTTTTTTCAATAATCCGATTTTTATATTCAGGTGCTTGCAACCATGTATTTGAAAAATGTGAATCTCGAGGCATTCTGCTATTTATACTTTTATTATTTACACTTTTTCTAAAATTAAATTTGCATATTTAGATAATAAACTAAAAGTATTTCAAAACTTTAGAAAAATTAAATTTTATAATTTGATTTGCAAGACTTAATACTCCACAATTTCAGATATGAACTTGATTTGTTTTATTTCAGAAATAAAATATTTAAGTAAAATAACAATTGATTAGTAGAGTTTTTGTTTTTAAACAAAATGTTAAAATATTTTATGAAGAGGTGATAACCAATCCCCTCTATGCTGAAAGGTCATTTAATAAAATGACTGAAGATGCTCTTTTTCCATCTATATGATCTTTAAAGGCATTTACGAATTGAGCCCTGATCGCATTCGGC